ACTGTTCAATGACTACTGTTCCACATCTCCGGTCATTATGAAGCCTCCTTGCTTAGAGGTGCTAACCCTCGACGATGCTTATTGCACAAAGTCAATATTATATTCGCTCAACTCAAGCGGGACTTTTGAACATCTCACCCACCTCGCGATCATCGTAGCGGAAGAATATAGCGCCAGTTTTTTCGCATTTCTTCCTTCCATCCCCAATCTGTCACATCTTCGGCTTTCGCGCTGTTCGACCATAACCCAATACCCGAACTCCCTTCCGCCTGATATCATTCCACAGCTCACTGCTTTTGAAGGCCCATGCCACGTCTCTCACCTGTTCACCACCGGGAGGCCCGTCACCAGCGTCAAATTATTACTCCTGACTGAAACATTATACGGCGAGATGAACTCTTTCGCTACAGTTGATGAGACCATCTCTATGATATCCCAATTTTCCAAATCCAGGGCGTCCCTGCATGAGCTATCAATCGATTATTTATTACCTCGGCTTGATCTCATTAATCCTATCTGTCAATTTCATCGGCACCTCCGGTGCCTTGACATAGGACTGGCAACGTCATTCGAAGTCGGGTTGGAAGGAGATGTCGTGGAACCAATGGATTATAATGCAGATGTAAGTTCACTTATCATTAATCCCCTTATAAAGTGAAGTACTTACCTCCGTGACTGAAGGGTGTGGACGATTCACCTGATATCGAGTTGGACGATAGAGGACTACCAAAGCAAAATCCTGCTTCACTTCAGGTTTGTTTAATTCCCATCTTTGGGTGACTTTATGTATTCACATGCGTTTCGAAAGGGCCTTGTAAGCTGGATTGCTGTTGGTCACACACGGCTACCAGCTAACATTGAGATATTCCGAATACATTATGCACACCACGAAATAGATACTCCTCTTTCCCCAGCAAGAGAGCGCGGTATGGTCACTAGATTGTCTGAATTATACCCTCTGCTACGAGAGGTCTATCTGGGCAACTTTGTTTGGCAAAAAATGAAGGAGGGCTGGATTACAATGAGAAGTATGCAGAAGCACTAAATATATGCACGCTAAGGGATCCTGCAATTGTTTGCGCCATCAATTGCCATACACGCAGACTTTGCTTATTTTAATAAACGAACGTTAAAAAGACCCAAGATAATAAGCATGATAGCCATGTCCACCGACCAGGAAATGAAGCAGATAACCACCAATACGTATACGAAAGTCCAAAAATGACAATAAATCACGAAACACCACTCCTCGGATAAGTATCCTCAGTTCACCTAGATCCAGGCATACTCAATCTCTTTTCCACGTTCCGACACTTCTTACTGGCACTTTCCACGGCACTTATCCACGTCTGACAATCGCGCACAGATGTAACTCGGAGAGATATAGTATCGCCACCACGAGGATAGGCCAAAACCAAGCGGAAGCCTAAATCATCTACAATTTTTTTGGGAGGGAAGCAGAAAGTTAAGGTTGCATTTGACAAAAAAGAGCGATTGCATACCTCTTCCCGGAACGTCTTGAACCAAGACATCAGATAGTGATATCGGCTGTTGAATCACCACGGTCAAACTAATGTATCGGTAGGAGGCATTGGCAGCTAAACTCACTATACGATACAGAGTCTTTGCATTCTCGTCCGTAAGTACCAGGATATCGCTGCATAAGAAACTTCGCAATTTTCTGCCACTCTTGGCTTTGAGTAGTATGCCCTCTTTCAAAAGCTTGCGTGGGCCCATATGTCGTGTGGGTGCAGTCAAGTCAAGACGGCTAAAATATCATATTTAACCTGAAAATAAATGTGAATCTGGTCGAACTTACCCCTGGCCAATCCACAAATTTTGGCTAATTTCTTTTAAACGTTCAAAGCCTTCCTGGTCCCGAATCGTTTCATTAATATGATTCAGAATCTTCTCTGCAATACGGAGTGCAGCCGTGATATCATCTCGATCATGAGCAACTTCAGTGTAATGAAGTATCTGGCACAGCGTTTCATTGTATGAACTTGGTTTTGATGGTTTAAACACTCACTTGTCGAATCAATAGAGGATATCTTGTCATGCGCTGCACTACAAAAAGTTAAATTACGCGTATGAACGTTGAAAAACAGTAACTCACTAGGTACAAGCAAGTAGCTTGACAGATCTAGGCTCCTTGCTACAGGATCTTCCCTGAGGGTCTATGCCAAACTCGTTTGATCGAGAAGTACTACTCAGAGAACAGGAACATACTTGTAGATTGGATGCTAACTCTGGGTTAGTATCTCTCATCGACTGCAATACCTTCCCGGCGTTGCTTTGATTTACGCAATATGCCTACTCCATTCTGCATAAATGTACCATTGCCGAGGGTGATGGTGCTTACCAGATAAACATCCATATTCGACATGTGCTTGTGTAATATATCCCCAATTTGATCAACATAAAGTCGACAGTCTTTCTGGCGTTCTTCCAGAGAGCTCAGGAAAGTCTGATTGCAGCGACTGTAAAATATGTGGCTAGGAAAGGATAGAAAGAGACCAACCGTGTTTATCAAAAGCAGGTCTTCAATGTTGGCAAAGATGACGGTCGTAGCCTTCTCACCCAGAACTGACATTAGCCGAGAATAGAATAACTTTCCTGAGAATCAGCCTATTGTTACGATGCTGCCAAAATAAATCTCACCTCGACAATTAACTGGAGATCCCGAACGTAATCTGCTTCGGTAGTGATGAGCTCGAATATAGTCTAAGAAGGTTATCAAGACTTGTCGCGATTCTGCACCACGTATGACTCACCTCCTGGCGACGTCGCTCAGATTTGGGGATTCCATCTAGAGCGGACTTATCCACAAGGCTTGCCCAGGACTTAACGAAAAACAAACTGAGGTCACGTTCTGCACTCAACAAGAAATGTGAAACTTACGGAACCGAAAGCTGGGCTACTCTCTCTTGAGGGAGTATCAGGCGTGTTCAAGATTGGCGCAGATATTATCGGTATTGTACGTTTATCATTATCGGTTGCCGGTGTATGACTACGGCCTAGGAAATTCAAGAAGTGCGAAGCTCGACTTTCGCCGTCGCGTTGTAGGCTTGGTGCCACGGATATCGCTGGAGATTTTGGCGGAGAGGAGGGAGTAGTGTCAATGGAAGATACCGACATTCGACTGTTGATACTTCCATGCGTCTTCTTAAAGGTCTCATATCGGTCGAATGCGTCATTCAGATGCCTCGACGGATCGACTGAAGGTAACGATGGGAGCTCCTTTGTGGATGAATTTGAGACGATTGACGCTCGCTGAGGAGTCGCAGGTGCCGGACGGGGTCTGCGAGCGGATCGAGAACGCAATACCCCTGGTGGAGGCTTCACATCCTGATTTACAATCAACCCAGCTGCTTCAAGCACTTTTTGACGCTCAGTTTCTCGTGCCTCTTGATCAGCTTCGGTCGCTTCGGGATCAACATCGCTATCAGAGTCATCTTCCGCAGACAGAAAGTCGACATCGGAAGAGTCATCTGTGTCATCTGCATCGTCAGTTTCCGCGTGTCCTATATCATCTTCAGCCTCGCTATTATCTCGTACGGCGTCCTTAATCATGTTGGACGGACGGCTTCCTGGAAGTTGACAAAGAAGCACCAGCCAGTGATGAATTATTCCGACAAATTGTGTATTACAATCATGATACATGCAAAAGTAAGCAGAAAGTATATTTAGTCTGTTTGCCATTGAACGTGTAAATGGGAGCACTCAAGGGGAGGGGATAAAATCCACTAACCCTCGACAATCTCCAGGTAGGCAGCAGGAACGATGAAGACGACTCCACCCTGTTCAGCTTTCCACCAGTCCGTTTCACTTTTATCTACGATAGAGAGCTCATCGCCTTCAGCAAATGGGAGTTCGTCGGCGTTGCCACCTGCATAAGAATAGAGAGCCTTTGCCTTGACTGCATCACCATAATGAGTACTTCAAGATAAACCGGATAGTTGAAACAAATCTTACATTTCTCCGTAACTTGGACATAAGTTTGAGGGAAAAAACCAGACTTTCCATCTCTGGCGAGCGCACCGTACCACCAGTCGCCCCCAGATTTAGAAGGGTAGGCAGTAAGAATAAGATTTTCTCCGAATGCTAGTAGAGTAAATGTAAGCCATTATTCAAGCTAAAAAAAGTATTTAATTACTCAAATCCTCTGCACGTTGTCCTTCATAGGGATAAAGAGACCGCACATGTAACTCTGCCGTGCATATACATTAGCATGAGAATTGTCAAATGCAGGACAGAGTGAACCTTTAGATCTATCTATATCTTCAAGAGGGTCAACTGCAGCTTCTCCAGAGGGCTCGGATACTTGAATTTGAGGAACCGAGCCTCCGTATTCAGTAAGCTCTTCTTCCTCTTCTTCCGCAGTAGCTGGCAGATGATGTACCACGCCATGATCAGCTGCAAGTCCAGCATACCAATCAACCGACTGTCTCTTACTGTGTGATGAATCTTCCCGGTTGGTCATCAATGGAGGTTCAGGAAGGGATGCAACAGGTGGTGAAACAGGCCTTGGAGTAATGCTAACGTGGGGCGGCGGCGTGGGATCACCAAGGACCTTCCCAGAAAGCGAGGCTGCACTTCGATCATTAGTGCTAGCCTTCCTGAGTCGCGCCCCACCTTGTATAGCGTTCAACAATGCACCACGATCTCCAGACGGAGTCGGAGTCGCAATCATGGCAGCAGGAGGGGCTGGTGCAGGAGGAGGAGCCGGTGCGACGGGAGCAGGGGGTGCGGCAGGGGCTGGCGGGGCAGGAGGCACATGATTACTTGTGGACTGAGGAGTAGGTCCTGCGGACTGAGGCCTCGCAGGAGGAAGTATACTTCCAAACAACTGCTGCGCAAGGCCCATGCGAGTGTCCCTATTTTCAAACTCATCATCACTACTGTCATCATCATCACGTTCTTTGACATCATCCCACTCGTCTTCACTGTTGCTTGGCGCGGTGTGATATGATGCTTTAACTGCCGTAGGTGTTGGGGTCTTGGGTGGTGTGGGGGCAGAAGGAGGTGGAGCAGTTTGACTACGGAAGAACGGGTTGGTACTGCCATTGGTTGCGGAAGCAGCAGAAGGCGTAGATGCTGTGGAGCCTCCACCTTCTTTCATTAGTCGGCTGAAGGGATTGGTACTTAACTTGTCAGCCCCGCTGGCTGATGGAGCAGGAGCCAGTGGCGGAGGTGGGGGCGGGGGTGCTAATACAGCCGTGGGTGTAGCTTCTTCATCGACTTGCGGTGCCTGAACATTAGCTGGAATAGGTGGAGGAGGCGGAGCAGGAGACCTGGCTACTGGAGGCGTAGGCGTTGCAGGAGACGGGGTGGTGCCAGCTGCCTTTGAAGCTAGGAATTGGTTTCTTCTAGACTGATAAGCCTCCTCGGCAAGCCGAGCCTCTTCCTCCTCTTCCTCTAATTTACGAAGCAACGCCTCGCGCTCTTCGCGCTTCTTGCGAAGTGCTTGCTCGCGAGCTTTAAGGGCCTCGTCTTCGGGGTCAACTTGAGGCACTGCAGGAGGTGGGACCACGGAGGGAGCTGGCGGGCGGGGTGCTATCGGCGCATTAACGGGCGGACGTGGCGCTGGAGGTGCCGGTGGTGCAACCGCAATAGGTGGACGAGGTGCAGTCCCTTTTCTAGGCGGAGGGGGTGCGGGCGCACGAGCTTTCGGCGCCGGAGGCGGAGCCTTAGCAATGGGAGCAACAGGAGCAGGTGAAGGGGCAGAATTGGGAGCAGGCGTAGTTCTTCCTTCCTTCAGAGCCTTTTCACCTTCAAGTCTCTCCCTTCTTAGCTTCTCTCTCTGCTCAGCTTGCTTTTCAGCGTCTTTTGCTTTCTCTTCAGCTTCCTTCTTTTCTTGTGCGAGTCGGTCCTCTACACTGGTGTCGAGAGTGGGGGAGGCAGTTGAGGATGGTGAACTCACTCCTAGAGCTTGCATGCGGGCCTCAAGGCGTCGCTTAGCTTCAGCACGGATGAATACTTGACGTTCCTCTGGAGTCATGTTCTTAGTAGAAGGCGCTGGAGATGCTGTAGGAGCTGGAGGTGGTGGTGGTGGCTTGCTTATAGAGTTAGAAGGAGCCGCAGCAGGAGGAAGTGGAGGAGGGCTACGAGGTTTGTCCCTTTCCCGTTCTCTGTCTCGCTCTCTGTCATATTCCCGTTCACGAGAGCGGTCACGGGAACGATATGACCTATCACGATCATCGTCTCTATCATATCTTCCATTGCGCGAATAACCTCTATCCCGATCATCATCACCATCCCTATAACGTACCGACGGCGAATACCTTCCCTCATTGTCATCATATCGCCCAAATCGATCGTTCCTGCGATCCCTGTCTCGTGCCCATTCCCTTTTCTCCCTGTCTTTCCTCGCTTGCCTGTCTTCGATTTTCCTTTCCATCTCAGGAAGACGCTCATGCATCATTTTCAGCAGCTCGCGCTCTAGCCTTCGTCGTTCCTCATCCTTCGCCGTCGACCGCGGCCCGCGCGAGACGTACTCGAGGTCTTCTTGAAGTCGCTTGATTCTATACTTCAGGTCACTCATTTCTCGATCCAGCGCCTCATCTTCCGCTGTTCGTGAAGCATCAGCTTCTGCAGCTTGATCCAGCATCTTGGCTGTGTTCTCTAGCTGACGCTTCATGTCTGATAGATCAGCCGAGGGACTATCATCGTCATTACGAGAGCGGACGGTGCTGCGATCAAGGTGCCGACTACGAGGTTGATAGAATCCACCCGGAGGCTCCGCATCTGTGTGCTTATACACAGTGGCATCTTGGCGTCCTCCAGCACCAGGAACTGATGTAGAATGTAGCGATCGGTCTCGAAGGCGCGATACTGGCGTGTCAAAACCAGAAGGAGAGCGTGCGCGAGTGTCATTTTTCAATATATCCTTCAAAAAATTCACTGAAGTGTCAAGGTCGCGGGAAGAAGGAGGAACCAATTCAGCGGGAAGCTCGTCTGGGATATCATTACCATTAAGTCCTATTACACGGTCCTCCCGTCAAAAAAGCATGCGAAAATCAGTGATGAAAAGGACATACTGCGATAGATTATGCCCATTGCTACATGGAACTCGGCTAGATTTAGCTTGCCTCTATTGTCAGTATCGGCAAGAGTCCTAGGGTTGATTAAGAGTAACAATATAAGACTGTGCTAAAACATGATGGATCAATGCCACCAACCAGATACGCGCCAGATCGTTCTTGTCCAGGCCACTTTGTCCGAATACTTCTAGAGCCGTCTGACCACTTATGAAACCTGTACCTTGGGCATCCCATGCTCTAAAAATTTGGTCGTAATTTTTCTTTTCTGCTTTGGACAAAGCCCAAGGTATCTTTGGGGCAGATCCAATACCCCTCGACTGATTATGCTGCTGGAACGATTGCTGCAATGAAAGACCTCCGGCCTGCTGTTGGGGGGGAGGTGCAAGCTGTGGAGCACCACCAGCGGTATAAGGTGTTGTCATATTGGCAGGCATAAAAGAACTCGAAAGAAGCTGCAGACGTGGATCAACAAAACCAGTGACCTGAGGAACTAAGGGCGCAGGGGCTCTGCCAGCAAAACCTGTGGGCTGAACGGGGAAACCGGTCTGCTGCGTAGGCTGCTGCTGCTGGAATTGGCCTGGGATTGGTGGAACTGGTGGAGGGGCGCGAGCTTGTTGTCCAAAATTGCCAGCACCAGGAAAACCCGTTGGCTGAGCTTGTAAGAATCCCGGACCAGAAGACCCTGGGAAGCCTGTTTGCTGAGGCTGCTGGAATCCTTGGGGTAACCGACCGCCTGGAAAGCCGGTCGGTTGTGGAGCAATCCCTCCACCACCAAACCCACTTTGAAGACCTACACCGACGCCTCCAAACCCACCTTGTTGCTGAAATTGAGGATGAGGACCCTGCTGGAACTGTGGTTGTTGGGGATTTTGCTGGAACCCTGGTGTTTGACCGGGGAAGCCCGTTTGAAGAGGATATTGGTATCCAGGCTGGCCCCACTGCGACATTGTGAAGAAATTCGCTGGTGTCTCTGAGTTAGTGCGTACTCGAACCTAAGCTGGTGACGATAGCAAAGTAACGACGAGAAGATGATAAAAGGAACCAAAGCTGTATTATGGTAGAGCAGTTGATGGCAAGATACCACCAGGCCACATTTTTGAAGTTCCGACTGCGCATGTCCCTAGGTTAGGGTTTACAAGGGTAGCATACTTTCAAAGCTGGTGAAAGAATATGAGTTCAATAACTTTGAAAAGAACTTAAAGTTATCCATTGCAAAAGAAAATTTCCCTCTTCCAGCACTAATCACCAAGCTAGAACATATAAACTAGATGCCTTGGATACCACTCACTTCCAGAAAAGTGATTAAAGCAACCACAACACTTCTAAAGTAAGTTATGCTGGAAATTTTGGGATTTGGTTATTGTTGGAACTAGAGACAATCAGATCTACAGTTTGTACTGTATTAGTCTATATGATAATGTGAAGACCAAAACATAAGGACATACCCTCAGCTGTGAATAAAACAACTGAGGGGATAAAGTATATCGTAAGGAATCAATTTTTCATATTGCATTCCCACTATGTCGTGGTTGTCCAACCCCCTTCCCCATCACTCCTCTTGCTATCGGACTGGAAGTTACAGCGGGTACTCTTTTACTTTTCTCTTTCTTTTTCTTATTCTCTTTTCATACCTGTTGTCAATGATGAAGACTGCCTGTTAGAAAACCACACACAAAAACAAACTAACAAACAATCCTCCCAGATTCCACGGAACTTGTTTGTGGGCTAGGCCTCCTACAACGGTGGGTGCTCTGGTTGTTCATGGGGTGGTAAGCTTTATGGTCCTTCAAAATGAATCCCAAGTGGTGTGGGTTTGAGGATGAGGGGTAGCTGAATGATAGGGGCTTGGTACTGAACAAGACGGGGGTAATAAATCTAAGTGAAACTCAGCCGCTGCTTGAGAGGCTATATAAACAACTTTATTATTTACCTAAGTGAAACTACAATAGATGTCAATTTAAGGTGGTCTCTAATAAATGTAATGTAACATATCTCAGCCGCTGCCCAAGAGGCTATAGAAACAACTGAGGTATTTCTATACTAAACCCCCTACTACTTATAGTTGGAGGTGCTACTCGCTAAGGTATAATGACTCCTAGGAGAACAATGGCGACTCCATGGAGAACAATGGCCACTTTAGCAGAGACCGGGTTTATCCGGTTTTGTCACTCCCACTCGAGTGCAACCGTAGTCCCATAGCTTTAGAGAATTTCCAGTGTTTTTTGTGAGTGAGGGGTTTAGTGAGAATGTCGGCAACCATATCTCCTGTAGGAACATATCTGATTACTGCCTCTCCCTTTGGTACTAAGTCATCTCAGATGAAATGATATTTCCATTGAATATGTTTTGTGTGAGCACGGAATTGCGGATCTCATGTAAGAATGATAGCTGCTTGATTGTCACAGTGCAATGTTGTAGGTCTATTTTAAGCATGTCCAATTTCTTCAAAAAATGTCCGAAGCCATGCAAGGTGTTGTCCAGCATTGCTCAATCCAATGTACTCTGACTCCGTGGAGGATAAAGCTACCATGCTTTGTCTTTTGCTTGTCCAGGAGCTTGCTCCTCAGATGGTGATAAAAACAAAACCTGATGTTGATTGGGACGTGTCTGTGTTACGATCACACATTTTCGGACCTTTAAATTTCATTCTCCTCTTTAACCTTTTCCATTTTAGATACAACTCTCTCACGCAGTGGAGCTGGTCACACGGGCTGGGCCCCATGACATCGTCAGCCACTGCCTCTATCAACTGTACAGTACACAAGTACAAATAACTCTGTAGTAGTATATATACCCCAATAGATCCAGGAAACTCCTCAGCGAGTCTTCCTGTTGTTTACCCACAACTAACTTGGTCCTCCCACTGAGCTTGCTAGCCTCAGGGACTGCGGTATACAAACCCAGTCACCCTTCATCCTTCACTAAAGAGTTCGGCGTGTGCACCAGAGTATACAAACTTCTGGGTATTGTTACAGTCTGGGTCTCCAAACCAATCCGCATCCAAATATCCATAGAAATCCATTTCCATGGGACATCTGTGCCACCATAATGTAGTTCCATGTCCCTGGTTGCTTTCAGGTATTGGAGAACATGTTTGGCAGCTTCCCAATGATGGCTCCTCGGAGCTGAGCTGTGTCTGCTTAGTATTCCAACAACATGGGAAATGTCTGGGCAGGTTCCGAGCATGGCATACATGAGGGAACCTACAATTGAGAGATATGACACTTGATGCCCTTCAATATGCATCTCGTGTTGCACAATATCTTCCCCTGGAGCATTTGCGAGAAGTTTTGATCTATGGGCCATTGGTGTCCATACTGGTTTGCAGTTCTTCATTCCAGTACGCTCCAAGACTGTGTCAATGTATTGGCATTGCAATAGGGAGATTGTTTTGTTTGAACGATCACGTCGGATTTCTATTCCGAGGATGTATTTTGCTTCTCCAAGGTCCCGCATTTTGAATATGGATTCAAGTTTGGCTTTTGTGACATCCATGAATTTCCGGGATGAAGCTCCTAGGAGGAGGTCATCTATGTAGACAACAACAAAGCATATTTGTTTGTTTCCTGGAATACATAGAGACATGTTTCTGCATCTAGTCTTGCAAAACTAAGCTCCTGGAGCTTGTGATCAAAGGTTTTGTTCCATGTACGACCAGCTTGTTTTAATCCATAGATGGATCTCTTTAACCTCCAGCAGTATCCAGGTTGGATAGGAACACCCCCTGGAGGAAGCATGTACAGTTCTTCTTCAAGTTCTCCATTGAGATAAGCTGTAGATACATCCATTTGATCAAGTTCTAGGTCATACTTTGCTGCCAGGGCTAGAATAACAGATCAACTCTAAGTTTGCAACTGGAGCAAAAACCTCCTGGTAATCAATCCCCTCTCTTTGAGTAAACCCTTGTGCAACAATCCGGAGTTTGTATCTCTCAATGTTTCCGTTTTGATCAAACTTGATCCGGAACACAGGTTTTGATGTGATAGGTTTCACTCCCTTTGAAAGTGGGACAGTGTCATATACTGCATTAGTATCGAGACTTAGGAGTTCCTCCTCCAAGGCAGACTTCCATAATTTGTAACAATACCCAAAGTTTGTATACTCTGGTGCACACACAGAACTCTTAGAAGTGATAGTGAAGTGAAGTTTTTGAGTTGATAGACTCAAGTAGTAGGAACAAGTTGGTTGTTGGTATACAACAGGAAGACTTGCTGAGGAGTTTCCATCTATTGCAGTGGTATATATATTAGTATACATGTGGTACTGTACAGTTAATATAAATATTTGTAATGTTCCATTGTATTCTATATGATGTCATGTCACGTGACCAGTCATGTGATCAATCTAGTGACTTCACCATGTGCCAGCTTATGTAATATCCCCATATGGTAAGTGCCATGTGGCACAAAGTCCGAAAATATGAAAAGTGAAAATAGGCCTGAAAATACTATTGTAACATAATTCTCCATCCGGACGTGATAAGGCTTCCTTTAGTGTCCTTGGAAGGTCTGTATTAGATGGACCAGTACTTGCTATTCCAGCAAAAAATGTCTCCTCTGTGTTGGATGTTTCTTCATGAAGCTCAGGAGTGTTAGATTTTTCCATGGAGTTGTTGTGCTGCTCTTTCCGAGACTGTTCCTCATCTAGAGTCCTTTGATAATCTTGGTTTTTGTCTGCAGGACAAGTTTGGCGACTGCTTCTGCATACTCCTAGGACTTCAGCAGACATAACTGCTCTTTGAGGAATTTGTGCAGGAACTCCAGGGAGTAGATGCATTTGTGTGTGAGTTGCCCCACTCACTCCTGAAGGTGTTGAATGTCTCCTTGGAGGTGTTTGATGCCTTCCAGAAGCTGATCCGATGGACGGGCTGTCTAGCTGTATTCGGACTTTCTCCACATCAGCTGGCTGTATGTTGAGGAGCTGTCCTCCCACTGACTGTGACGCTACTTTGGGTTTCCGTTCCGAAGATGGCCAGTGTTCAGGTCTTGGTTGTAGAGACTGTTGTGGAGGGTGTCTTAGCTGATCAGGTGCTCCCACTGCTCTTGGAATGTCTTCATGCTGATATGGTTCCATTGCTTGTGGAACATCTCCTCGGAGATGCGGTTCCATTTGCAATTCATTGGGATCTCAGATCCGAGGGTCAGGATCATCCTCCTCCATTGTATTTTGGTCCGGATAGTGAGCATTCTCTGGAATGAGTCCCTCCCACTGATCTGTGTTCCAGGGAGCAGTGTCATCCTTTTGTACCTTTCCGGATTCATTGAATATGACATGCCGACTGGAAAACACAGTTTGTTTTTCAGTGTCTAGAAGTTTGTAGGCTTGCTTTCCATGTGTGTAGCCAATCATTATCACTTTGCGCCCCTTGGAGTAGAACTTCCCTTGCCTTTTGTCTTTCGGAATCAAGGCATATGCTTGGCATCCAAAAGGGCGAAATAAAGTTGGATCAACTCTCCTTTTAAACAGTATTTTA